CCAGCGCGTTTCCTTCAACACATGGTGTTCGGCGCATTCTTTCACCAGCTTCGCAGTTTTCAAGCTAGAAAATTAGGAGAGCTTTATTCTTTCTCACTTTAAGTGAAAACTCATGCTATTGAAAAAATGAATAAAATAGTAATCCCTATTTTTATGATATGCCTCGATCAAATTTAGTGTTACTTTATCCAATCATATGGCAGCAATCTTCAGGTGTCATTTCCACTCGCAGTAGTTCTAGCGAGCGCCACTACGAGTTATGCAGTCGGAACCAATGTTTTCAAGCGTAAGGGGGCCCCTTAAAGTAAATCTGGTAAGTGGTCGAGTGCATCATGCAGATTTTATTCATGTATCATAAAAAAAATCAGCACTATTTTTAGCGGCTGCGTAAGATGTAGCTTTAACACTATAGTGTTCACGTTGTGCACGTAATTCCACCTCAAGGTTCGAACATTATCTGAAGAGTTCCTTTTTAATTAAGCGCACTTTGCGTAATTCAGCAGTTACATTCAAATGAGGCACAAACAAGAAACAAAAAGAAGCAAGTGTGGCGATAGGGTATATATGTTCATTGTAACGTGCGAGCATAGGGCGGTTTGTTCTAAGATCGCAAGTAATGTCTCTGCCGGCGACTTGTTATGTTTTCGTCCACTTTATTTTTACAATTACACTATAATTACTTCTATTTACATCCCCTATACTTTCCTTTGCATTACTGTGTTCTGATTTTACGTGGGACATGTTTGCTTAAAGCAAACATAATTTCTATTCTCGTTTATTGATGTATACAATATTACGTCAATTACAAATCACCCAGTTTTTTTCTCCGTGCGTGCCAAGAACTAACTTCCATCCCAGCTATTGCCATGCGGCTCGCGCCATGTCAGCTTGATTAAACTTCGCTTGAAAAGTTTGCAGCCCTCGGAATTAGATTACCTGCTTCTATGCCGATATATATGAAGTTGGCATAATTTGAGATGCATGTAGTGGCTTGAGCGACACGCCATACTTGATTGATGTTATGTTGGAAGGGAAATCAGGTGAACGATTGTGAACTTTTGTATTGTTGCAGGAACCATAACGGTGACGTACATATTTTTTGCTCCAGATGCACATTGATTTGGTAAGCCAGATTTTCGACGTAGTTCCAAGAATTTCACCATTTCCGGTGCGGGTATCCTAGTGGCTGGATAGATTTCGCACTGAAGGCGCCAATATACATAGCCTATGAAATATTATTCGTATAACTAATCCCTCAACAGATGTACAATGATGCTGTGGACAATGTTGGGCTACACGTAAATGGTGCACTGTCGATATGATGTTGTGTATTGAGAACCAATGGGAAGCGCAATTGCTAAATATACGATGGAAAGACATAGCTTTCTATTCACCAGAGTTGTATAATCTTCAACTTGTTATACCAATTTAAAAAAAAGCGTGATCTCTCTTTGCTGAGCGAAGTGAGGGTGTATGGATCTAATTGAACATTAAGTGATGCTGTCATCATCTAGGAGCCGTATGGGAGAAGATATGATTCCGAGCAAATGTTTTATAACTATCATAATTGGAAATTCCCAAGGGTGCTGAATATATTCAATGAGGCGCACACACATGCACGTTCACAGCTGAAAGCGTAGGTGAAAACAGACATTTCTAATGAGGGCAATGTGTTTCTCCTCTAACTATAGTGTTCATCTGCTCGCCATCTTGTGTCAACCTTTTTAGGTGTCTAACCTGGTAAACAAACTCACAATATAGGAGCAAATTACATTGCTAAAGCTTCTTGATAAACTGCAAGACACTCTTTCGCAGTGAATTTGGGTCCAATCTTGAACTAATAATCACAGATATACGTATGCAATATGCGTGAGATGGAGGAGAGCTACAGCTCATTCTGACAATCTTAGCTCTATACAACGTCTAAATTCAATATTGCTGTGAACAATCCTTCAGAGACTTACTTCTGGTTTTCAAAATATCAGATAATTGAGGAAGCTGGGAATCACATTGAGAAAAGAAAGCAATAAAAAGTATTATAGGCTCTCAATGGATGCAGTCACACAGCAGATACAACATTAGTGGCTCAAACATCGGCTGACCTGTATCAGCCTATGATACAGATTGTACGAAAAAAATTATCCGCCTGCTTGGTTTCCATAATGGCTTTTGGCTTCTCTGCAGCTCAAAATGAGAAGAGGATTACGTGCTTACGTGGTTCTATAGTAAGAGCCCTAGTGCAATTTTTTGTTAAAGAGAGCTTTTTGGTGAAAAATAGTTTCATTTTAAAAGGTAGACACGAGCAAGTGCTGGTTTCATGTGTCGATTCTGTCTAACCTGCATCTGTACTGTGAATCACTAAACATCTCCTTGTTCTCAGTCAAAGTTATGCACCCGTAATTAACAGCAGGATGCCGTGAATGTTTGTTAGAATAAAGCACAGCCCCTCTGATTTGGCGGACCTGAGACGGCAGTAACAATTTCCAAAAGTGGATCCTGCCTACTCAAATCGTGTGCGTTTAAATGGTGCCGGCCAATGAATAATAATAATAATAATAATAATAATAATAATAATAATAATAATAATAATAATAATAATAATAATAATAAATTTGGCCGATACCACGTATCTTGGAAACCAACGTTGTGCGAAGCGTGTAGAGGGAAGGCAACCGTTTTGAATTTTTTTAATTTAGCGACACGTAATTAAATGACGCTGAATATATGTACAAATGTTGCAGGCATAGATGTCTGTTGAACAGTTGATGACGTTTATATAACAAATTCTTTGCACTTGCGCAACGACACCAACAGGAACGGGAGTATCAGCAACATCAGAAGCAATAAGCGAATATAGGCGCTAGTGCTTCCGAGAATGGTAGCCGTGACAGTGTTACAAAAATCAACTTCAGCGCATGGCACCTAACTACATTTTTCATTAACCGGACGTGATGGCTGTATCATAGGAGCTCATAAGTAATGTTTATAAATATAGTTAGGCAGCATTGCAACTTCTATTGACGTTTTACGAACTTGGGATCCATTTGAAAAGTAGCTGCGAGATTTGGCTTGGCTCTGTGGTAGAAGACTGGATTGTCACAAAAAAGGCTGGCGTTCTATTGCTGCTGGGACACGGACATTTGTTCTTTGTGTTCGTTGAATCAACGCTGCCAGTGTCAGCTTTTTTATTAACGCTTACACATTATTATTATGCATGCATGAGCTCGCCATTCCTTGGTAGATACCAAGTGTCAATCACCTATGGCACATAGATGCATACTAGTGGCACATACCCACCGGCGGGCATTTGCCACTGTGACGGAAGCTGTTTGATAACGTATGCGACGAGTATGCGACGTTATTCATGCCTGTCATCTTCGACAGCTGCAGAACTTGTTGCTATACAAGAAGCCATAAAATTTGTGAATGACCAAGCACCGCTTAAATGGACGATTCTGTCTGATTCAAAATCAGCGCTTCAAGCTATTCATTCTTGCTCAAGAAGAGACCAATTTTACGAGTTAACGTTAGGAATCGTGCAAGCGTTTGACCTAACACAAAGGAGCGGTCACTTGATTACACTCCAATGGATTCTTGGACACTGCGGCCTAGTTGGCAACGAAACAGCCGATAGCGAAGCAAGAGCGGCAATATATAACGCTCCTATGTACGTCAAAGTACCGTACTCGCGAGGTGACGTCAGCACATTGTTGAGATCACTCATGCGCGAATGCGCTGCCACTTACTGGTCGCTACCAGATCATCGGAACAAGCGCCTGTGGGAAACAGACCCCGGTATGACTTTTCGTTTTCCAGATAAAATCAGCCGAAGACATGCTAATATACTGCACCGAATTCGCCTGGGCGTCGTCTTCACTCGCCACTACACCCACCTAATCGGCCGTGCAGACAGGCCGAATTGTGAACGCTGCCAAGGGCGCGAAACGATAGCTCAGATATTTTGTGACTGTGCATTATACGTGGCGCAAAGAAAAATGCTAACTGCAACGTTGGCAAGCATTGGACGAACACCATTAGGTGAAAGCCACATATTGTCAGCAATGAACGACCAAACAGTGTCAAAAACTGCTACAAAGGCTGTTCTAGACTTTATAAAAAGCACTGGACTAGAAACTAGACTGTAGGGTATTATGCTAAGTGGCTACTGTACATACGCACCACCTCTTCTTGTCCCCATCATCACCCTTCATCCCTCTTTCCTTCCCCTTTCCCTTATCCCCTGTGTAGAGTAGCAGGCTAGAGCGAACTAGCTCAGGCCGACCTCTCTGCCTTCTAATAAATTCTCGCTCACACTTGACCAGGGCGTGATATTCGTGAAATTATCTTACTCTCCAACACTAATTTAGGTTCACGCCAAGTTAAGGGGGTGATCACGAGAGCGCTCAGACGTAAGTGGCTAGATAGATAGATAAATAGATAGATCGATCGATCGATCGATCGATCGATAGATAGATAGATAGATTGAATCATTGATTCAATGATTAATTGATTGATACGTAACTGGACCCTAAAAGTCTTTGCAGTACACGGAAAATGCTTGGCACTTAAAAATCAGCCTGACAACGTCAACTGCAGGCCCCTAAGCCTGCAGTTGACGTTGCTTCCATCATTGTCTTTAACCCCAGTTTTTTTCCTGACTCACTGTGTTCCATTTCTCTATCTTAAAGTTACACTGATGATTTTTCTCTCCATCACTCTCTTCATCGTCCTCAGTTCAAATTGAGCCCCTTTGTAAGCGTCTAGGTTCCTGCTCCGTAGTGACGTATCAGTAAGATGCAGCTGTTATATACTTTCCTCTTGAGGGCTAGTGGTAAACTACCTAATGGCGAATGAGTATGAACAAGTAAAGCACATGCTCATTTGGTGTTGATGTGCGCCAGTGTTCGTTATTGAGAACGATTACTACGAAGGCATTGTGAGCAGCATCCGCCTAAACTCAGTGCAAACAACAGTAGTAAGTAGAGGCGTTCTGTACTCACATCGCAAGGCCCAGGGCTCTAGATCCTGGATGGCTCTTGTAAAGTGCAGCAAGCCGACAGTGCAGTCAGTAGATAAGTCGGCTTTCAGTAGATTCCGGGTCAATTCGCTTCCTACTGTAGACATCAGCTGCTTGATGTAGGTCTGAATATCACTGAGAAATTTTGACCTCTTCGGTGTCGGCTCCATCTCTGGTAAGGCTGACGATGAAGTGTTAATATATCCGAGGACCTCTGTAGGCATTATGTCTATTAAACTTCTGGAGGTTGGCCGTGTTGAACTGGTTACTGCTTCTTTTTCTGTATTCATCTCATGCGCCCTTTCAATCAACTTTGGCTTTATCGAAGATGTGGCATGCTCCAAGGTGGCAGTCAGCTTCGTCTTTGTCGCGGTTTGTTTACCAATGGTTCCTGGTAATTTCGATGTTCCCGAAAAGTTCAAAAGAGTTCGCGCACCCGAAGCCGCGTTAGACGTTATGAACATTAGCAGGTGTGACTTATTAACCTTTCCTAAAGACGTCGGTGCTTCGGAAGTGGTGAATGAGCTTGGCATGTTCGTTGGTTCATTTTCTGAGGTCTTGAAGGGCGCTGACAGGAGCGTAAGTGTCGTATTTTCTTCACAAAACACTTGGACAAGCACAAGCAACAAGAAAATGAAGAACTGCTGGTTCAAGAATATAATTTTTAGCGGAACTGCCTGCTCAGCAGTGAGTCCATGCGCACAAGACCTAAATATTGGCAGGAATGTCGCAACCATGTTGTTGGTGATGCATATGCGTTCATGAAGATCTAGCAAAGCCTGAATAAATCGCGTGGCTCACCTGATCGTCCGCGTTTGTTCAATACCCCCCGAAAATAACGTCCTCTGGATAGGCTGCTAGTACCGACTTTCGATATACCACGTCTAGAATTACACGTCAAAATATATATGATGCGTGAATACGCACAGTTGCAATGGCGTCGACTATGACGTTACACTTATCCAGGAATTCTGCTATTGACGAAATTCCTTATCGTCTTCAAACCCATTTGCAAACATTGCTTATACTGACCACCAAGGCAAGTGTACTGCTCGTTTAAATGTTATTTTATAACAGCAGTTTCACAATTCCTTGTTTCACAACGCATGCGGGTTTTTCTTCGCAAAAAGATAACGCTGAGCAACAAGTGAGAAGGTGAGCAAAATCTAACAGAAGTTGCTTTCACTTATGTTTATTGGTTTCAGGGGCAGCGTAAACTAATAAAAACACAACATCCTTGTACTAGAGATTGCGCCATGGCAGTGAGTAGGACGTTTTTTTTCTGCATTCACTACGTATCATGGATAGAGTAGCTTAACGCAGCTGTATGACGTCTTCAGCAAAGTTCGGCTTAGATCGTATGTCTGTAGCTTTTATTTTATTCTCTTGTTACAGCCACAAAGATAGCAGCATACCAATTTACTCCCTATGATATCATTTTAGCGAGGTATTCAGACGGCATAATTCGACGCATAATTAGACTTCAGAAGGAACAAATGTTATTTGATGAACAACTATTCGTCGCGCCCTATATGATAGCCCCAGGGTCGGTTGTTTAGGCAAATACAGTGTAAATTTTGAGAACCGAGTCTATCAACCTTTTTTGGTCAATGCGTAACAGAGAAAACCTTTTTTATGTGTAATTTCTGCGCTGATAATATTTTAGCACTGGAAAAAACTTGGTTTCATCGCAAGGTCAAAGTAATAAAAGCAGAGAAACGAACTCAAACGTTACAGGATGTAAGCCTAGCAGCTTGCTGCTAAAGCATTCGGCAAGCGTAATTCAACAAATCACTGGCGTAAGTCTATAGATGGCGGCCAGCCGTGAAAGAGCAATATGACCTTCGTTGTGAGTATGGTGTCAGAGCAAAAAAATTGCAATGAAAGCCCAATGGATGAAAATAGTAGTCTTCTGCTCATGATTTTAGAAATATACGACGCTCACATCCACGGGCAAACCCGCCTGGCCAGTTGAAGCACAGCTGCCTTTTTTTTTTAAAAGCTGAACGCGCGAGATTCAAGCGCTGAGTCTATAAACGGCATTTAACAGAGTACAACGAGAATACGTGCATGTCGGCGACAAACATCTATGTGCAGTCATTTTCTGCCAGACAAGTGCTGCACACTAACCACCATGGCAACGTGTGGCTAGCACTTCCACGCTTACATACAAAAAAATCCCCATTATGGTGAACGGGAAGATTCAAGACAGTAACTCACGAGGCAGAGTGTGTGGCAACTTAATCGAAGGTCGTCGGTGAGGTCTCTATAGGTGGTCAGTTGTGTTTGGGACCACTTAAAATTTATTTGATTCGTATCATGACATCTACATTACACGTAAACATTACGATTAATGACCGTGTACTTTCTTTGATATATTTGTCAAGGAAATACGTTTCATTGATTTGTTAGAGTGGTTATTTTATTGTATCAGCAAACGCTGCAAAGCGTGATGCGAGGACCCTTTATCAGGAACTACTGAATTATTCTATTGTATCAAACGTTGTTTGATAATTTTTGTAGTGGGGGTGTTTTTGTAACGTAAATCGTGGTCGATGTGTAGCCTATCCACTTGATAATAAAGCAATGAGCATTACTGATGTACTGTGAATCAATAAACTATATTATAGAGTTACTCGTGCCCATATGAGCGAACTGATGAACGCTGCTATTTACCTTACGTTTGGATTAAAGTGACATCTGTGGTGTAAAGCGAGTGCCGACGTTTGTCAGACCTGCAGCTATCTCTTCAAAGCCCACATTATACACCCAACTGAATACTTACAGACCTTGATGCACCACGCAAGGCCTTGCTCCAAGCCGAAAAATGCGGCATGTGCCGCTATTCGATGGATGCTTTTCATGAAATTTATTGCAACATTAAGTTATTCCTGCCGGAAATTTTCAATTATTTCTTCAGGTATACTATAGTGGAGTTCAAGAATTTTTCGCAAGCATAAAAACCTTTTTCTCTTGTTTCGGCCCGATCACAATGTTGGAAGCTACAAGAAGCTGTCAGACTGAGGAACCAAACTTTATATCAGTGCGCATCATGGCCTTGAAAACAGCTAGTTTTTTTTTTTTTTCAGATGTGTTCGCTGACTTGTGGTATAATCGTGAGTGTGAGAAAATTGTTACGGTCGAATTTAGCACCCTCTAGAGCTGAGCGGTGGCGTGTGGTGTGGCCGTGTGGTGGCCGCGCTAATTTCAAGACAAGAACACTTAGCTGTGCAAAATTCTGAATTACGTGAAAATGTGATGCATATTTTTACAAAGTCCTATGTCAGCTTCACCAAAGAATAGCAGCCAAATCTGGATAGCACATTGCCGAAGAAATCCAATAACACAACACGAAGCCACGTCTGCACAGATGTCTGTCCCGCGTGAAGCATGAAAGAAGCGAAGCGTACATTGCACAGTCAATAAGGGTTTTGAAAACAGCGATATAGTAAGTACCACTGGCTCATTACAAGACGAAAGAGCAGCTCAGCCAAGTAGCGTTTAGAGCAGTATGGGTGCATTCCGCTCGAGATCCGCAGCGAAGAAACTTCACGCCACACACAAGCTTTTAAAGTGTTAAGCAATTAATGACAATCGACACTAAATTAAACAAAAGAGTCACCATATACGCGATGCTCAAAAGTGGTGTAATATTCACTCGACCATGCGTAAATGACAGAACAGATGACAGTTTTCTGCTCTAAACACGCGTCATTTTTGTCAAAGTTCCAGACGAAATATGTGCGTACTTCAGTCTGTTGATTAAGTTACAGCTGTTAATGACCGGTATAATCGAAAGAAGTGCGTTTGTCGAAATTATGTTTTTTTTTCAGTGATTAGTCAAGGCAAGAGCTGCATAATTCTATAAGCGCTGCATTTTATACTATATAATGCTTTTGATAATACATATCATTGTTATCTTTGTTATGTCGAACATAACAAGGATATATACTACCTTGATATGCATCTTTATTATGTCCGACATACTCAAATTCAACCAATACGCATCATACGTTGCAGTTCTTATGCTTTTGACTTGCTTGATAAGCACAATACTAATTGCATTAAAGTGCTATTTTGAAGATTAGGAGTTATGTAGTTAGCTTATAAATACTATTCCTATCAGAACCTTTTCAAGTTATTTTTACTCATTACTATTCATTCGCACTAACTGTGGTAAAAAAAGCATCTAGATCTGCTATTATTCAGTTCTGAAACAGGTCACCGGTGTCACTTTGCTCTGCCCAATATTGTGCATTTTCAAGCATCAGTAAAATATTTTGTGCTAATATGCTTTAAAAGCATATAAAATTAGGAAAAGTGGAGCTAATTGTATCTACGATACCTCTATGTCTTTGCATGCCACTGAATATGAACTTTTCCGTACATATTTTGGTCAGAATATTGTGTGTCACGTGTGCAATTTGACGCTACGCGTTTGCATTGAGGGGTTGTGGTGCGGAGCATGTTGGTTTATTATCTATTCTTACGTATACAATACGAGGCTGTGCGTGTACAGCCATTGCATGTGGTTTCTGGCATACATCAAGTAAAATAACTTTGATTTTAATAGAGAAGTTTTCTAGCAAACAAAAATTTCTCTTTCGTTAGCATTTCTGTTTTCACTTTTTCTGTCAATTTACAGATTTTTTTCAGTTTGGAAATAATAGAGAATTTTTGTGACAACCACAGAGTGTCGTTCGCGGTACTTTTTCTTTTCTTGTTTTCTCTGTCATTTTGCAGGTTTTTTTTATTCACAAAGAACACAGACATTTCTGAAATTGACAAGAAATTTTTACAGTATATTTTTTTTCTTTATAACTATCATTTACCAGCTTTTTTCCACTTCCATCTAATTGTGTACAATTGTTACTTCACTTACAGCAAAATTAGAAAAAGTTCTGTTAAGCTGTAATTTTCGCCCTTTCACACAACCTATTTTTCTTAACGTCATTTAATGACTGCCATGAAGACATGCAAATCTCAGAAAGTGCTTTGATTTTCAACACATTTAGGTATATCAGTATTGTAACGTGACAACTAGAATGGGCAAGTCATTTTTCAACCACATCACTGAATGTATGTGCAATAGTAAACAGACATTATGACGAGTATTTTGTCATGTCGCTCAGCATCTTGTAAATGACACAAACAAGGGACAGGTCAGCAAAGAAAAAAAGTACCATAAAATTACCCTCCGAGCACTGCCTGGGTAGCACACCAAAAACTCAGTTGTATAGGTAAAGCACGCCAAATAGCCAATAATGGCAACTATGCAGGAGCACACGTATTTGAATCTAAATCCACAACAAATTTTGATGAACGCAAATCAAAATCGGATTACCTGTGCCACGTAAACAACCAGTCACTAACAAGGAGTTCAAAATAAGCGTACAAGGAGGGTGCGTTGGGTGAACATATCTATGGCGAGAGAATCTTGAGAAATAGAGCAAATATAAAAATATATATAGTAGTACAATATGCTGTCTGCACATTGAGTCACTGAACTTCGTCTGCAAGCATATTAAGTGGAAAAATTGTGCATGGTTGCAAATTATACTCCTTTGCAAGGGAGTTTAATAGCGACGCCAAGTAGTAGGCAGGCAGCCGGTACGGACAGAAATGCTCGAGCAGTCCAGCGTCTACAGCTCGTTCACACACTCACGCTTCGCACTCCGAGAGAGATGGTCCCACTATCAGCGCCTTGCGAATTCCCCACTACAATTGTTTGAAGTAGTGAATCATGAAGCAGTAAGATACGGTCAATAAATCAAAAGTTATGAAAAAGGGTGTTAGCACTTTCAAAGTATTACCGTAAAGCAAATATTAGGTACCCTCTACTTAGTACGCAAAA